CAGCCACTCTTCCCCAAGCCTGTTTGGCACAGATCTTCTCTATCTCACACTACATGAGAGCTAACTCTAAAGCCTCATGTGTCAGCTACACCAAATCTGCTCAAATAAGTGGCTTTTAAAACTGTTTTACCTATTATACTCATTTCAGGAATCTGTATGTTGAGAGTTAATACTCACTATTAATACACTGTTGCTGCATTTGATATATGGACCTAGTAAAAGGGAAGCTGGTAAAAACACTAACATCTTTTATTTGCACGCTAAGGCATCGTAACAACAGTCACATTATCGGATACCACACAAATCAGTGTTCAACAGACAAGGTCAAACACTGCCACTTTTAATTTGAGACTTGTATTGTTAAAAAGAAGGGGAGGAGGGATTGAAAAAATTCATTTATACTAAATCTGAATTTGGCCAGTTGCACAAAGAAATGAAACAGAATACCAAAAAGGGGAACAGAGGAATTTAAATCAACAGCCAGATAAGGGATTGCTTAAGGGAAGTGCTGCACTTGAAAGGCTGATACTTTATTCCCAATCAACTATTATTTCCTTCTTGCTGATGAGAAGTTTTCTTACTCCTGAATAGCTAGTTAAAAGACTAATCAATACAAGACACTAAGCAGACATGGTTTTGTTCATGTGAACATGCACAGCTGTCCATTAATTTTTATGAAAAAGGCAACTTTGTCATGTAAAGACACACAATTTTCTTAAGTCTTACTGTGACTGGAGTATTATAGGGAAAGCATGAATTTAAGACATTTAATCAAGGTGATTTGCATTGCAATATCAATTAATGTAGTTTTGATAAAGGAGCACTTACAGAATCAGATGCTATAAATTAAAAGACAAGTTAGAAAGGTAATTTGTGTGGGTTTGGTTTTGGTTTTTAAATGTTAATGCTAGCCATCCCAAAAATACAAATGCTTCTTTTCCATGCCTTTGTAAAGGTGGAATGACTTATTTTAAAGTTGCTGTACTGAAAATGTACACACATGTCATGTTGCTGAGGAGCGAACAAAATAAAATACAGGCAGAAAAATCAAAATCAGAAACCACTGTATAAAACAGGTGTCCATCTTTTTACAAAGTCATTCTAATATGCTGAGGAAATTACATTTTAAATATATCATAATATAAACTATCGTAATATATATCACAATATACACAATTTTAGACTACAGAATTGCAACACTAAGAAATAGGACAACTTGAATTGCAATACAGATCAGCAAACAGCAAAACATGCTCTTCCAAGGATGCCTCATTCCTCCTCCTTACACTGCAAAAGTATATGGCAAAATATTCTATTTTTTAAGCCCCAACAAATAAATGCAAACAGCACCAGCATCTAACAGCTGATGGACACAGCTAGAGCTTGCAGAAAGCGTGAAGATAAGATCTCCTCGCTATAAATTTCACCTCCTTTTGCCAATTCTCAGGTGCACTGTTCTCTTCATCAAGAGAACACTCACCAAATAAATTAAGATCAAGGAAAATGGCAAAAAAAAAGTATAAATTTAAGCTAGACATAATAGACCTGCAGTGGAAAAGGAGAGAAACTATGCTTAAGAATAATTTTTTATATCAGAACTGTTGCAAGGTCAGTATGTAGATAAACACGCAACAGAACCAGGTATTTAAGACTAAAACATGAAAATAATAGCATTGCGTGACAATATGAAACAAGCTGCCAAACTTCATAAAACATGTAGAAGAATTAGCAGTTTTACAAGGATTCTTCAACTCTGGAAGCAACAGAAAGCCAAGTATTTCCAAAACACCAAAATGAACACGATCTTCACTCTTTGTAAATTTCTTTCCCCTCGGAAAAAGCAGGCAGAATGCTATGACACAATAAGCATTTTAAAATTCTCTATAGCTTGCTTCCAGTTGAAAAAGAAGTAATACTAGATACAGATCTAAAGCTTGGTTTTGATGTTAACTTATGACCTTTTTTACCCCAAAACACCAAATGCTGCTTTGTCATAGTCTTATCTTCTGTACTATTCTTACATTGTTTCCCCCCTTTAACAGTTTGTTTTGCTACATGACAGCCTTTACTTATAACATTGTCCCTTCAGCAGATCAGATACTGACTACATCTTTGCTAGCACTTTTCTCATATTTGCATCTCATTAATGGTGCTGCCCAAGACTCTCCATGCCCTCTATGTTTTATGTCTTTGAGATACTTACAAGCAAATAATAGAGAAAGACCTAACATCAGCTATAACTTAAAAACCAAAGTAGTAAAGACATGTCAATACCCAAATCTTAAGTAGAAGAGTATTTAATCTGTATTTTAAACTCCACTGAATATTGAGGCTAGATAAAGAAGCCTGAAATACCAGGTATTTCAGACTTAAAGGATTAATTACAGTAAACCTGACTGGATCATTGAAATTACACCTATAAATAATGTCATATTGCACAGTATAAGAACTGATTTACTAAAAGAAACAGTTTGTGTCATAACATACACATTTAACAGCTGCTTGATTCAGACAAGGGAAAAAAAATTTTCTTCTCCTAGTTAGTGACTTACAGTAACTGGAAAGTAAATACATTTCTCAGTTGGATGAATGAGCATATCCTGCAGCTATTCCATATATATTAGATGGCTTACTGTTCTAGCTAATGGGTCCATCATTCTGAAAATAATCTACTGTCTCCAACATTTCCCCTATGGTTAAGTTGGCATTCACAAGCATGTAATAGGGACCAGTCGCAGAAGCCTAATGTGATCTTCCAATTTAAAAATACCATTGAAAAGCAGTGATTAGTCACCGCCCAGGCAGCATGAGTAAGAAAAGGTCCACAAAGTTCTGTTTTGTAACTGAATTATCTCATTTACCGATAACATGACTAGTGATTCAGAGGCAAGAACCAAATCTATATATAGGTATACATATGAGAAAACTAAGGATCTACACACGTATAATTTTTTCATCTAGTCCTCAGTAGATCCCCAGCATCTCCGTCTCTCACAGAATATACTGGAGTTAATATCAGAACATTTCCAAATAAAGGAGCAACAATCTAGTAACAAAATACCTCCATCCCTATTTCTCCACTTCTGCAAAGATGGAATATTTGCCAATTAATAACAGATGCACTGTAGTCTCAGTAACAAATAGAGAGAATTAGATGTAATCAACAAAGTAACTGTGGAAAAAGCTATGGTGAAAACAGACAAAACCAACCAACTTGTTAACAAAATATTCAAAAATATTCACCCAAGAGTTTTAGGAGTACTCAAGAATGAATCAGCTGAATTAACAACCTCTCATTTCAAACTTCCTTGATGCCTGGAGTTTAAAGGTGGCAATCTCTAAAAATAAAAAAGGACTCCAAGGGGATTCAAACAGCTCTAGTTCTGTGAGCCTGATGTTCATACTAAGCAACTTAACAGAATATATCCAAAGCTCAAATAGGTAGACAATAATGGGAAGATCTGCCTAGGAAGAAGTAACATGGCTTCTGCAGAGGGAACCTCTTGGGAGCTCTCTGAAGGGGTCAAGAATCTTGTGAAGAATGGTGATTTGGCTAGCAGCCTCTGGATTTCCAAATAGATACTGTCAAAATACCTCAACTAAAGGCTTTTAAGAAAACTAAGGAGCTATAGCATAAGAGGAAGGGGCCCCAAAATAGATAAATAGTTCTTAACCACAAATAGGGAGGAGCTGTTAAATGACCACTTCTCAGAAGAGCAGGATGTCACCACTGAAGTTCTTTAGGACCCTGGGGGTTTTGTTTTCACATACGATCTGCAAAAATGGGGAGAGCAATGAGGTCTGAAAGGTTGCTACTGGTGCAAAATTATTCAGGGTAATAATAACAAGAGCAGACTGAAGAACTGCACAGTTCTGAATAACAGGTAATAAAATGGCAAGATGAGATTCAACTGGTAAACACAGGGAGAACAATTTTAGCATCAGATACAGAATGACAGCTTCAAAAAAACATCAGCTCACCACTTGGCAAAAAATTCTAAGTCAAATATCGGGAGCCATTGGAAAAACAACAGAAAATAATTATGCCACTGTGCAAATCCATGGTTTGCTCATATCTCAAGTAAGTGTAATTCTGATTCACTTATCGCTAAGGGGAAAGTTTAGAGAAAGACAAAAGGAATGATCAAAGCTATGGACAACTTCTGGACAACTTCTGATCAACTTCTGATCAAGTAGGCTGTGACTTTTCCAACCTGAAAAAGGAACCACATAGGCAAAGTGTGACTGAGATCAACAAAATCACAGCTGGCATGGAGAGGCCAGGCAGGATCTAGAAGCCATTCAATGAAGTTGTTAAGATCCAGGCCCAGAGCAAACAAAAGGACACGGAGGAACATGGATCTACAGAACTCTCTGTAAAAGGACAATTCTCATACAAATTTTTACACAATATTAACGGAGGCTGGGCAAGTACGTGGAAAAGAGGGTATTACATACACAAACCATAGGAGGCTGAAAAAGAAGCTTTTATATATAATTTTATTACATTTTGCAGACTTGTTCTCACAAATTCCACTTAATATCCTACCCGAGGCAAAAATTAGTAGACAAATTGTCTGAGTTTTGTAAATGATGTATGATTTATCAGGACACCAATTAAACAGTAATTACTTTCAAGCAATATTCCACTTGAAGTGTTGCAAAAGCATGAAACGTCAAAGGGATTTGTGAATTACTTCTTAAAATGAAGTCCATTCAGAAACCCTGTTGTAAGGCCTTTAATATGATCACACTTGCAAGCCTAAGATCGCAAATACTCAGGATCACGAGGAAGATAAAGTTACCTTCTCAAAAGTCGAGTTTTGTGCATGCTAAGTTTTAACTGTAAGAGAAATTAACTCCAGCGCAACGAACTCTTGATTCTATTTCCACTACCAGTAAAATATTTCATAATTCAATTGGTATGTTATTAAACAAATGTTTATTTCTGTAGCCTTTATATTGTGGTAATGCTTCATGGTTCAAGCTACCCCCACTGCGTTTTCCTGAACTCTATACGCATATAACAAAGAGAGATCCTGCATCACACACACGATCTCCACAGTAATGACACAGTAAGGCACAAAGGAAGAAAACTGTCACAAATACAGAAAACAACAATAATTTGTATTTCATTTCTTCCTCTGCTTTTCGATATTAATAATTCAGGGAAACTGAGGACATTACTCACTACAAAACAGGTTATCCTCTAAATTGTAAAACAAAATGAAGCCTGGTTTCTTACTGATGTGTGTAGGATCCATAATGTCTAATCAAAGTTGAGCTGAAGCATAGCATTTTCTTTAACACAACTATTATTATGGTCTCTCCCTGTTATCTAGTTCCTTATTGTCATTAAATATGTAGAACCTTAATCCATGACCTCTGTTCTGCTATCAGCTTTGGTTGAAATGGTCCGATATGTTTAAAAGTTGCTTCTGCACTCTATTAGGCTCCTTCAGCACACAGACATTCACAAATACACTCATGCCCAGAGGCAACGTGATCAGATCAACCCCGTTCTCTCAAATGAAGCTAAGGTAAGATGTGTTTAGATCCCAATTTAATCCCGTGCACTGATGCAGAAGTTAGCTTTAGTATCTGCCAGACACACTTTCCCTGCAAAACAGCAGAGTACAACAGAGCTAATGATCCAGGTAATGTTTAGCAGCAATGCGCCCTTTGTTACATTAAACCGGTAAGATTAGTGTACTTTATTTCAATGATATAGAGACATTATACAAGTAAAATTCAGGTATTCTCCAAATGTTTTCCAAAAAAGCTGATGAAGTCCAATAAAAAGCTATTCGCATTAAAAAAAGTATATTGAAAAATTCCTGCAACACACTATTTTCTTTAAAATCAACATTAATTGTACACCAATCACTGAAATACAAGGATACAGGAATTTATTTACATGCGAGTTACTACCAAAACATCAAGCTGCTCTTACCTTGAACTAGATCTTGACTTTACATCTTCCTTTGCTGTCCTTTCACTACTAGCATCTTCGTTGTTGTCCTGTTTTTTCTCACATAGTTGTTTTCTCTTCTCCCACTTCTGCTGATTTGAGATGCTTTCTGCCTCTCCTTGCGAGTCATTTTCTGCTCCTACCTGTGAACCTGAGGAATGTGCCAGGCACTTAGAGGAGATCGGCAGTTTTTGCTCTTCTCTGCCGAAGTCTCCTTCTGCTAACAAAGCAGAAGTTTCAGGTTTTAATGTTTCCTGTGCAGGGGCTGAATTGTCCAAGTCATCTACATGGTCCATTTCCTTAGACTTTACTAACGTGTATGAAGCATTTACAACACCTCCCGCAGAATGTTTAGTCTTTAAACCTTCAACACTGTCCTCCCTGCTGTCTTCACAGCTGCCACAACACACACAGGAATTAATTAGACAGTTTGTGGCAGCTATACTGAGTTTATGGGATTCATCCTCCTCCTCATTTGCTAATGGATTAGCAGATCCAGGAACACAACTAATAGCTGCTTCTGGAGTTGTTACTGGGGATTCTGAGCTAGAGGGAGATTTAGGATTGAATATTACAGTAGCAGATATTTTCATTCCCCCTGTCCTGTGAGCTATCACTTCCGCCATTTCTGCATCATCAGCATACGCATCCCAGCCATTAAGGTATAACTGTGAGTCTGGACCTTCTAGGCAGCTGCATGAATTCTGAACTGAGATGCCAGACATCTGTTTGCTATCTTCAATATTGTTATTATTGCTTAAGTCACTTTCAGCATCTTTTAAAAGCAAAGTTTCCTCTGTCTGATGGCCGTTCTCGTACAGCAAAGCATCTCTATATTGCAGGTTCTGTTTTGAATTGTGGCAAGGGTTATTCACCCAAGCAAAAGTATCACTTACTGAATCCAACCCAGCAAGAGCTTCTCCTGCTCCATCTAGGTCATCCATAAAAAACACTCTGTCCTCTTCATCACTTAAATTGTCAAGATGGTGTCTTGTTGGTGAAGCTTCTGTGCTAGAACTATTTCTTAGGCTAGGTCTGTGAGCTGGAGACTGACAGATGCTTGGCGGGGAAAGCAGAGAAGACATTTCATCTCCGACTCTGTGTACCATCCTATTCAGCTGCTCCAGCTCCTGTTCATCATACTGCATAGAACAAGCCAGCTCAGCCTCTGTGTTTTCAGCTTTTGCTGAAAGCTCCTTAGCAGGCAAAGTTGCAGTTATGCCTGGTGTAATGACAGAGGGTACTTCAGGATCTGCTCTGACAGGAAAATCCACATCTTGAGAGATGCAGAGGTTACGTTCCAGTGTGTGCAGTTCATCCTCAGTTAATGTCTGAAGTAGATCCCTGAAAATGAAGAAATACACACATCACTTTGCATTTATAATCATAGGAGGCACTGATGTTACAGATTTTAAAAAAGCTTTTACTGTTAGTACAGAAATCCAGAACTTGGGGGCACAGAGTACTTTCAGCTGTGTAACTCAAGGTGCATTTGGCATTCGTATTCAGAACACATGTGATTGCTGATGCCTGAATTTGAAATCACTCATGCAAATTCACAGTACCAAGTTATTTACATCCTTGCAATGAAGCCCCAAAAGAAATCATAACACACCCAAAAATGGATCTTCCCCCTCCCCATCTACTTACAGTGAAAGTGTTCCCCACAATTAGATATATTTTGTCATTTAATTTTTCAGTTCACAAATTTGACTTTGATTAGCAAACCAATTTGCCATCCTTCCTACTAGATTCTGAAAATTATTCTGCAAAAGAGTACCACAGGAGTTTCACACCATTATACTGTCAGATAAAGAGAATTCATTAAAAATAGTAATATCACTTATGCAATGCTGATGTCTTGGAAGCCTGTTCACTGAAACAGGGATTGGAAGTTGGTTCTCTCCTGCCTCAAACATGTAACAGCCATTAGGGAGCTAAGCTTCTGCACGATGTTAAGAATCTGGCAGGCCTAAAAGCAAACATTTAGGTATTTACTAAACTATGTTTTCTAGAGACATGCAGCATCCCCAATGTTATCAAATGTCCTCAGTATTGCAGTTTAGGACTATGAGCACTTAAAAACAAAGTATTATTTGAGGCTGTTATGTTTAAGTACTTTATAACTTTAAAACAAATCCATAGACACAGCAGCACTTTTTTTAGGTCTGAATTTCATTTACACTATGCTTCTCAATTAGAAACCACACATAAAAATATCCTCTGTCAAGAACTGCTGTCAACATTTTCAAAGACCAGCAAGTATATTTTAGCATAAATGAATGGATGGGAAAAGCAAGACCTTCTGCTTAAACAGAGGCTAGGAGTCCATTATTCCTCATGTGTTTAGAAATCATTGGCTAGCAGGTGACATACAGCTAGCATAATAATAACAATAATAATATGCACATATTAAAACAATTCCCTTAAAGGAGTAACTTCAGTCTGAACAAGAGGACCAAAAAAACCCCAATTCAACAAAAAAACCCCATTCAACACATCTCACATCTTGATTTCCAGTCAATGGCTTGCATTCTTAACTTAACTTAACTCAAAGACCAAATATTTTTCCAAGTACTATCACTAAAAGATCAAATTGCCCAAAAAATACATCATGGTATCTGACTTGTGTATCAGCTACCCTACAATTTTAAGAGAGATAACAGTTTAGATAAGCATGCTTAAGTCAGAATAAGTATGGAATATACATTTTTATGGTTAGGTACATTGCATACAATTAACATCTTTATTTTTTTAAAAAATCATGCTTTTATATAAGAGTTATATGACCCTGAAAAAAATTCTAAGTCTACAGAAGAAGTACCTTATAAGAACAATTGCACCATCGTATCCTCCCCTTTTCACTTGTTTCTACATTCTCTAACAGAGAAGTCAGTATTTCTTTAAATCATTCCATATGCATCTTCAAGTCCAAAGTTTGACAATTTTTTCAGTCATAAATGAGTAAGAAAGGGAAATGGGCAATCTTTGTTAGACCCACTTACCTGATAAAGCTATAAACCAGTGTTGCTATCTGGCACACTAAAACATTTTAGAAGACCTATACATTCCTTTCTTTTGTCTAAACAGTATATAATGATACCATCTCATTACTCAGATCTTTTATTTAAACAGTAATCAGTGTCTGTAAGAGATTAAGCATTTTATCATCACCATAAAAACAAACTGATAGAGAATGGTTTGTTTTAAAGTCAACATAAAAATAGCTGTATTGTTATGGTTTATTTTTGAAAGAATGATACCAAAATAATCAATAAAAACATACAGTAACATGACTTCTGCCATGAGGCTTTGTATTATGAATTTTCAGTTTGTCAGTTTTTACAGAAATGCTGTGATGTAGGATTGTATAAGCAGAAACAAAGTAATGTGGGATTTTAGAAACAGTTGGTTTTTTAATTTAAAAAACCACAACAGAGTAAGCACACAAATACAACAGTGAAGGGTTTAAGCGCACAAACACAACAGTGAAGGGTTTAAGCTTGTCCCTCACCTACACAAAGATATTAAAAACATAAGATATTTCTGGTCAGGCCAGGGTCCATCAAGTAGCGAAGCTTGTCTCTGATAACAGATTCTGAGGAAGAGCATAAGAACAGGACAAGCACACAGTGATCTCTGCTGAGTGCATCCTACTGGCTTCCAGCAGCCTGTGTCTCACAGATTTCACCAAGGTGGCATCCTTGTGTTCAGTAATCCTCAGTGCACTTTTCTTGCATGGATGAAAATGTGCGTGTCAGGAACTGATCAACAGTCAACTGCTTAAACATCAGCTATGCTTCTCTTTACAGCACAGTCATACCCTCTTCTCAAAACACATGAGCTAAGAATTAGCAACTTCTACAAATACAGAGTATACTAGTAACATTCAAAGGAATTTGCTTTCCATCCAAGCTCATCAGCATAACTGGGAATGAAATGGGCCCAGGGAAAATCTAAGATTGAATCCTCTGACTTTCAGCATCTAGTCTGGGGTTTTATTCGGTCTCCAGAACATCACATGGCAGCACCCGGGATTCCTGGATCTCTGGGTGCCCAGAGCTGCTCTGCTTCCTTTCTCAAGACAGAGAGCCTGACTGCTCTGACCGATTCGACATAGGTTTCACACATTCACTGTGAAGTAAGTGCTGGAAATACATATTTACTTTATGCTGGCTAGCTTCATTCACTTGAGTAACGAACACTTTGTTTCTGCCAATAACAACACCTCAAAATTTAAGAATAATTGTATGTAGTTTGAGGATACGTAAATAAAGCTTGATTAAAAAAAAAATCAATATAATCAGCTGACAGTCCTCATGTCTTTTTAGGTGAGTCAGATCCATGCTTGAGTTGCTTACAAGAGTTGCTATACATAATCAGTTGGATTGCATGTGGTAGTCCACCAACCGTGTTATTTCAGTAGAGAAATAATCCTGCTTTAAATTCAAAGGAAATATGTTCAATTTCCCAATTCAAACACCAGAAATTTAGCTATTAACAAATACAGCTTGTCCTAAAAGAGGGTCGGACAATTATCTTTCACTTCTCTGCATAAAAAACCCCATTAGACTCACTGGGCTGTTTTAAATACAACTTTCCTTGCAATGTGACAAATGTTTGATCAACAGTTTTCTTTTTGGTACATTGTATATTAGATTACACAGGATTCACCGCCAACATTAGGAACATGGCATGTTTTAAAATGCCTATGTAGATATTGAGAATAAAATTAGTGTCAACCAGTGTACGGAAAGAAATGTTAAATCTCACTACTGAAAGTTTAAAACTAAACATCAGGCATCATTATTAAACCATAAGGTTTAATTAAGCTGTAGCTGCTTCCACAGTTCACTTCCTTTCTGCTGAAGCATCTGTAAGTCGTCATTGAATCCAAGCAAGTGCCATACTCACATGGAAAAAAGAATTTCTCCCTCTGCTTTCATTATTCAGAAGCCACAGGTAAAGAGAGCTTCTGCAATCCACCCTGACAGCAGCGGTGTGCTTCCTTCTCACAGAGGCTTTAGAAAACACTGAATTCAAAAAAGGTGCATGTGGGGGTTTCACCTGCTTTTACTCTTTTTGGCATAGTATCACAGGAAGGCAATCTAGCCTTGAAAACATGAGGAACGTTTTTCTTCCAGTGGCTACAGCCGCTGGCAGAAAAACAAGGCAAGTTCTTAAGACGTACTCTGCTTGTTACAAGCAGTAGTAGAAATTTACTCTGCCTATTGCAAAACCAATAAACATATTTTACTCTGCTGCCAATATCCAGGGTGCAGAAATTACTTCAAAGATCTGAGGCCAGATGTCCATTTTAAGACAAATTTGGCTAAATAGAGGACAGGGCCACAAAAACTCAGGTGCAGTGATCTTGCACATTCTCCAAGCCTCCTTCATTAACTTTGCTCTATTCTGACTAGAATTTTAAATTGCCTGTTTTCAGAGAACAGCAAGCATTGTCGTTATTGCCAGCCTGTGCTTGAGTTCATGCTCTGAACAGAGCATAAACAGCTGTCCTCACAGAGCTGCCATAAGAACATGATGCAGGTACAGGAATGCAATTTGCATGCTCCTGCTTCTGCAGTGCTGCGCTGAGTTCAGCACACCAAAGTCCGCAGATCTGCTCTGATACATCAACACTGAGAAACCAACACTGATATAACAAATACCACTGGTACTCCTTGATTGCAAAAGTTTTAAATCAACTCAAAGTTTTAAACACAAACATCTTGGAAAAACTAAACAGTTTTCCCCCAATCACTGTGCACACCTTAAAAGCATATGAGTTTCACGAGCCCCCCCACATTCTTTAACACACTGACAACAGGTACGCTGCATTTGATTTCTAGTCAATGATACAGAAAGGTTTCAGTATAATACTTAAAATGGTATGATCCTCTGATTCTGCACCACTTGATCTGCAATCTGCTTGATTCTGCACCACCAAAATCCAGAGGGACCCTGCCATCAACTGTAATGGTCCAGAAACAAGCACCAGGCAAGCAGAGGGCTCTGAAGAAAGGGCAGAATTAAGGAGTACTGCCAAACCCCAGGTTTGCTCACCTCTGAAAAATCTCTGTATAGCAGCCTCAAATGTACATATAGTATAGGTAATATTTTATCACAAGAATGTTCACTGTCACAGGCATCTGAATTAAATATCTATGCATATAGCCGATGACATGCTTTGTATGCTTACTAGGCAGATTACAGTATTTTGGCAGAAATGATTCAAATGTTTTAGTTTAAAAGGAACAGAGATAACACTACTATGTAATTATGCATTGGTAGATGTATAAAATACCAATGCTGATGTTTTATATCTAAAATAAAAATCAACACAAGCACCTTGTTTAGGTATTAATTAAAACATTCAAAGTCAGTTTGCTGCTCAACCTTACCAAAACCTAAAAAAGAACCCTTACTGCTTTTGCTCAGAGAGTCTCCACAATCTCTATTCTTTTCAAAGTTGCCAGCCACCAATAGGACACCAAAAATTTTCCTAGACGATAGGTATTTTTCTCTGCTAGTTCTGATTTAATTATGTGGATCCACATAAATACAGTGCTTATCATTGCCTTTAACAGAAGGGATGTTTTAGGATAATACAGCTTAAAAACTACCTGTAATCCTACAAAATAATCAGCTGTATATTTGGTGTTATTCCATGAGTTAAAATATTTAGTTGGCTAAGTTATAGAACTTTATGGAGAAATTTACTGGGATGCGATTATATTCTGCAGTAAGATGTTGTTCTATATTCTGACAACAGGCACACAACTGCAACACAAGATGCAACTATTTTAACAGCAGACTACTTGAATCTATTTTTGTGCCTTAACTATTGGTGATGGAGACTGGAGAAAGACTCCTGGAAAAAAATGCTCCCTTTTTGCTGAGGACGAGCTCAAATATCTCATTCCATCTTCCGTTATAGGTTTCTGTGAACATTCTCACTGAGCAGGAATTGCAGCCTGATGAGTTAAAAAAATCTGCGATAAAAAAAATCTAGACAGCTTAGGTACTTTTAAAAGTAATTTAATCATCCTACATGAACTGCACGCTTATTTGTATCTCATTGTTATTTTCATTCAATGTATTTTTCATTCAAGAATATTACTAAGGGATCTTTTTGAGCCCAGTTCTTTCAAATATTCAAGTTCCTTGACGTTCCTTCAATTCAGAGACTGCCAGAGATAAGATTTCACATTACATCTTAACTTGCTTAAATTTTTGCACTGATAGATGGTATCCTCACTAAGAACACTTTGCAAACTTCGTCTGCTAGACAACTGAAATCACACTTCTTAATGCTCACTTGAAAGAATAAATATGATGTAAGTCTTAAAGTATATCAGAACTTTTTCCAAAAATGAATCTGAGTGTCTTTTAATTTTTTGAAGTTTGCATTGAAAATTGTAGTTATTGAACAAACAACCATTTTACTAATGTGTTTTCAACCCAAGCATTAATTTCAGAGTAACTGAAAATTAAATGGACTAAGCAATAAACTGACTCCATTGATTTTCATTTTCCGTGTTGTGAAATGTAAGGAGTAAGCAGAAAGTACAGATTATGAGAAATATATTAGCTTTTAAATATTCTTTTGGCTTTAGTCAGCCAGTAGAATGCTGGTGAAAATTTCTGTGATAGCCATATATTGGGAATAAGGTATTTTAATGTAAACTTCACAGACTTTTTAAGCTTCAGTACCAATAAAGGTTTTTTTCCCCTCTAACTTAAGTTTTGCTCCTCAATTCATGTTGTTGTTCTTTACTCAGTGTTTTATAAAACCATAATCACTCACCCCCCCCAACATGTTGATTTGTCAATTCTGAGATTTCAATATGAATATCATTAATGTACCTAAAAACAAAACTGTATCACTTCTAGACAGAACTACTTCTGGGGGACATAGAATCTTCAAGGGACACACAAAAGGATGTGGTCTGGATATTCATAAAAGCTAACTCCTCTCTGAATCATCCCTGACAGAGCTTGCATTCTCCCTCAGCAGATGCCTCACCTCTAACGGGTGAGAGGAGATTAATCTGGATAAACTTATCTACGTGAAAACTATTCTTACATCAAACCATCATCACGACATACAGGGAAGGCGACAAACAGGTGAAAATTGGACACAGGAAAGAAAAACTTCTGCTAAATTGTCTTTAGAGATTTCTAGGACAAAATTTGCAGTTGATATATAAATTTGAATCCTAAGAAAATAATAGGGCTTATGGATTTAGAAAACAGTTTCTTTTAACACCCAGGTAAGATACCTTAAGGGTGAATAAAAAACTGAATATGAAGATCCTTTAAAGATACATCTTGATTTCTCCAATGTAACAGATCAGACTTCTGAAGACCTCAACTAAGAAAATAATATTTTAATGCCCTTTATACTTAAGTTGAGCCAAAGCACACATCTCCAATGGTTACCAAGACTGAAGCACTGTTGTGAAAAGAGGCATATATAAAATGATCTATCCTGTAAAAACAGATCCACAATATGAAAAACTGATAATCATTTCTATTAGATTAAGAATTATCTGAGTATTGCATCACAACATACTGAGATAATGTAATAAGCCTAGTTAAACAGAAACATTGAATTAGAAACAGGATCTCCCAAAAATAAACAGCAACTTTAGTATTTCAGGCATCATCCAACCATAAGGAAAATCTGAAATGTAATAAAACGATATTCAGAAAAAAACAAAAACTATCACAAAGATATTCAAAGTTCAGAAAGCTTCCATGAAATGAAAAACTACATTTAGTTATTTCATGGGTATATCAGGCAGATGAGAGGAAAATGCAGTTTATGGTTAACATAGCAAACAGAAACACTTTTCTAGGCATGTGTTCTTCTTTAGGCCTCCGATTTTCACTTCAGAAGAGAAGCAGTTACAACCATCTTTTATTACTTGCCTTATTTTTCTTAGCAGAGTGTGAAAAGGTCTGAAGAGTTCAGACATATCTTCTGGTTTATGGTCCAAGTTTAATGGTCCCTCGGAGTAGACGACAAGGCCACTGTAGTTCAAACACATGCACCAACACACACAAAAGTGAAAATTTCATTACACAGAGCAACTACTGAATAAGGAGTCAGACAAGCAACTGTACATAAACATTAGAACTACACTCAAGTTACATATTGTTATCTTATTTTGGTCTTATTCACACACAGTTAGAATTAAATGCTATTTAAAGCAACAGGAGAAAGATCCCCTCCCCTCTGTCCACCCCCCCAAAAGCATGGGAGAAAAAGCAATGGAAGCATAAGACGAAGAACATACATTTACTTCATTGCTGTGGCTGACTCATAAAAAAATAAAACAAGAAACTGATTATAAAGTAAGTCGGGGAAAGTCCACTGACTTGAGAGAGATTGCAAATGGTGTTTTCGTTCCAGTCTAAATAATTTCTATGTAAGATAGTTGACTCTTGAGCTCCTATTTTTCTACCTCTAAGATAAATACAACCTGGTATTAACATGTGGTAAAAAAGAAAACACATTTGCTAAATTACATAAAACACGTTTGGATAATACCATGCTTCTAAATCAACTCAGCCCTTGAAGAAATTTCCCTGGAAAGAGGTTAGTTCATGATCCTGAAGGCCTCTGTGTACTTCACTGTAGATATCTCAACAGTTCCTCCTGACCGAATCACTACTGCCCAAACCTGTCTGTGTGTCAGAGATTAAACAAAATTCACCACCTTCATCATTATCTGCTGCATCATAACACACTGTGTCCGAGAGTGGATTCCACCCACACCAGGCACCACACTGCTTAAAACTATTTAATCCTCTGCCCACTGCAAAAACAATGTATGTTTCTCAAAGGCAAATGGATCATGCATTCTCACACTCGAGATTACATATTTTAGCCAGACCATTTTCCCCTTCCTGCCCTTACTTTGGGTAACTGAGAGCTGCTTGTATCTCAAAGCTATGTTCCTTTTCTTACACTCAAATTACATGTTGCTTCAGAGAGTATTGTAGCTACTCTGCATCCAAGCCATCCAGAGTATTGGGGACCCTCAGCTAACTAACAACACTGTTGATGTCTTTTGCTCACCAGCTGTTCATTAGCAAGCACCCTGCATGACCACAGCACAGTCTCTCTGAGACACAGCAGCAAAGCTGATGTCACAAGTTATATGAATCCCACTGAAGTATTATAAAAAGGACCACTTACACGCTGTTTACCATCTGGGAAATACTGCTCTTTTTCTTCTGTTTATAAACCCAGAGTCTGGCTCATGCCCTGGTACCAGGATAGTACCGTGGTCTCCCATCAGGCTGGAAGATGGCCATCAGAAAGTTCAGAATTGTCAAGATAACAGAGGGTCCAAGAAATTCAGCTACTAAACTTGATCAGCATTGCTTTGGGGACTGGGTTTTTCAGGGCAGGAGCAGGGAAAGGGGAGAAGTGGAGAGAGAGAAAAAAAGTTGCTTCTTTTGCGAGTCACCTTTTTTTTTTTGTGGCTTAAGACAAATTATCCTGTTACCAAGGTTACATACTTATTTTTTTCTAAGCTTTCTGAGCTTCAACAAGCAGGCTGCCATGAAGCAAAGTGGATGTTGCTGACTCATGTACTAATGTTCTGCCTAAAAAAAAAAAGTTACTTCTTTGCTGAGTAGAAGCTCAAGGCTGCTCTCACCGAACTTGTAACTGATAAAAAAAATCACCATTCCCTTAGCAATTTCCAGGTATAGTTCACTTTCCACAGAGCTTAACTCACAGAAGAAATGAAAAAAATAGAAGAGGGCTAAAGCACTACAAAAAAAGATTATGAAATGGCCTGTGTATATATATGACCTTTGAAAGAGTTCTGAATCAAAGTTTGAATGTAGTTGTACCATGGAAAGAATTAAAAATTGGAAAAAAGTGTGCCTTAATATTTTCTACTAGGTTCAAAGTTCACTGACACCTGTTAACACACTAGGCAACATACACTGTATAATGTGCACAGTAAACTGATGTCTGAAAAGAAACCTTAGACAAAAATGACTCTGAAAAGTATTCCTTAAATCTTTCCTATTGGAAGACCAAGGGGATCCAGCACTTCTGCTTGTTCCAGACCCATCCTTCTCATTAAGACACAATAGAGCAACAGCATGGCAACTTTGAGTTGCACCTGTCCTGTGTTTAAAGACTTCTTCTTTCACAGTCCAAATAAAAGGCTTGCATTTCTTCCAGACAACACCGAATCTGGATAGTGTGGTTTTTCTGTGGAACTTCACATGGCAGTGATTTATTTTCAAATCACCGGATGCTTTGGAGCAGTTAAACTTTTTTCCCTTCTCCCTCTCTGTCCTTCTTTGTAATTTGAGATTGATATGGCGTGTTCTCCAGAGAGCCCTTAGTTTTCCAGTTAGTCACGTATTCTTCTTCATTGTGTCTTCCAGCAGCTTCAAATTGAGTTCTCACATTCCCGTTGTCTTTTAATAATCAGATTATTACTGTTATTATTTTTAGAATGACAGTTACAGACAATATCCTATTTAACAGGAACAATGGGCTACAGGGATTTCCTGAGAAGAAGCGTATTACACCCAGGATTTGAGGTTTCTTATTTCCCTCAATTATACTACTTATATCAGCTAACTTTAAAACATTCACAATGGTGAAACATTAAAAATATGCTGGCTTTACTCCAGAGAAACTGCTGTCTTACTAAATCATGAAGATTCATTAGGAAAAGTGCATCTGATTTGTTCAATATTGCAAAAACTGCATGAAGCAAAAAATCTCTTTTAATTTAGTTGTCTTGACTGGTCAATACCGGGCACAAATCTACACATAAGTTATACATGTTAATACTTTCCTTGAAAAAGATTTAAGCCTAACTCAGTGGTCATAATGCAGTTTGTCATGAGAATTCCTTTTGAACATAGAGTCATTAAGAAAGATACACAATTCCTATTCAAAATTTTTGGTTTTCAAGACTTGTATCCTTAGGTCATAATATTTTTGAGTGACACAAAATATCTGCTTTCAAAAAATATTTCTGACAACGTGACATTCTATAGATTATGTTCTTAATTCTTTTTTTTTTTTTTTTCTTTTCTTTCTGGAGGATGACGGATCAATTGTTCCAGGTTCCTGCCTTCTATATTTAGAGTTCTACCTTGTCTTTTCTTTTTTTTCCTCTTGATATTCTACATGAAACTAGTAATTATTTTAAAACAAAAAACAAAACCAAAACAAAACATAATCCTCTTTTTTTTATTTTTTTAAAGAAAGTACAAGCAAACTCAGGTGAACGAAAATACGCCAAAATTCTGAACAAAGTTTTTGAAATCTTCAATAAATCTTTAAGTGAGGCAGAGTGGAGAGTAATTAAAAAAATTACTTACCAAACAATGGCTAATCTTGGAATTGTAAACATTAAAGCCGGTTCATAGTCATCTATCATATCTTGAGTGAGGTATCCAAGCCTTAAGGCTCTAAGCAGAAGAATAAGATTATTTAGTAAGAGATCAAACTCTCAAAGAATACACTTCAATACGAAAAAAATTGAAAAAATTGTTGTAAGCCAAACCAAACTGATAATATTTAACTCATGAACTATTTTTGTACAATCTAAACCACTATGTATATAACTGACTGCTGTAGTCTCTGGTTTAAAAAAACACAAGAAAAAAATCTTTAAACACTTAAAGCTTTTATAGCCATCCAAAACCAAAATAATTTTTATGCCATTTTCCCTTTTTATTTACTATTTCATGCCAAGCTTCAGCTTGTTTCTGAAAACCACTGGTGCTTAGAGTTTTTCAACTACAAGAAACATTTTTAAAATAACAGGGGAAAGTATTTGGTTTCAGTTTCAAATAAAACTTGCTATAATCATCTAGGTCAACCTCCCCCTAAACTAACAAACCAAACTAAAAAAGCCCAGTTCTATACAGCAACTATTATTGAAATCAAAGGATTTAATATTTGGGGGACACTTCATTGTCCTCTAATAACTTTTCAAATATCTTAAGCCCCTTTTAGACTAAAACCCAATTTGTTTAGGCTTTTCATTTGGCTATGTTTTCCAGGTTTCTTCACAATGTCTTAATTTCCTCATAAGTTTCATAACGTCCTCAAACTTCTTCTCCGATTTGTCCATACCAGTGTGTAAGATAACACTCAAAACTGCCCACTAGTCCTGCAGAGATCTGACTGGTCCCAAAAAGAATCGAAATAATTTTTTCTTATTCCTTGTCAGTACTTGTCTTGCCGATACTGCTGTTGCTGGGCAGCAAAATGAACACAAAGCAAACACTGCTTTGTACTAATGGCAGATGGACTCATCAGTGCGTGGCCCACCCTCATTCCCTGTTCCTTCCTACAGTCTACTGCCAGATTATCCAAAGCTGCAAATGACAAACCACCTTTTTCCTCTTGCTGGGCAAATATGTGTACATGTAGTAGCTCTCTGACTGATGGAAGGTAATTCCTCCTACTTGTTGTGACCATTTGGAGTTGTAATCCTGTCTTTTAAAATGCCTGAAACACCTCTGATCTTAGCGTGATCTACAGATTGTGTCAGTGTGCTCTGTATTCCTCCATTCCTTAATGAAAAGTATCAACCACGCCAGACCCAGGGTCCTACTTCACAAGTTTTCCTAATATGACAGTAAAACCAACACTTATTCCAAGGATGTTTTACAGTCAATTGGTCTCTAATAATTCCACCCAGACTATGGTTCGCTAGTTTGCTTTTGAGAACAGCGTTGCACTGCTCAAAACCTCACTAAAGCTGGGTATGTCGCATGCTGTTCCCCTCCACTGCCCACCTGCTAGGCTTGTTACTCTATCACAGGGGGAAAAAAAGAAAAGTTGTTTAACACAGTACATTCCAAACAAATTCACATTTTTCTTATCACCCTATACTCTTGAAAGAACTTATGAATTGCTGGATTGTTTGGTTTCTTTAATATCATCTCTTCATACATATAGAGTCAAGCTGCAGAACTAAGATTTTAAAGAGCCTTTTACAAGTTCTTTACGATAATCATTAGAGGTTCACAGATTATTTGAATCATCTCCCCATGTATTCTTACGTGAAATATCATGGGGTTTTTTTGGTCTAGAAAACAAAAAAAGCATAGGCTTGTGCCTGGCAGGCATGCTTAATGTTTTTTAACTTTGTACTTGGATACTTAACTAGAAAAGCAAAATACCTGGTGTTTTATGATGCTTCTTAAAGACTACAGTTAAAGTATTTCTACAAAAGCTTAGACTGAAAGTAAACACAGAAATGAAAATCTAGTACTTAACTAGAATGCTTACCTCTCCACAGTTTCACAGAAAAGCACGATTACCTCTTGCTGTACATAATATTCTTTTGGAGACTTCACAGGTACCATGGCTGACACATAACTACAAAGATTATGAAATAATGTACTACTGTTTTACACACTTTAACAAATCAGATTATAAACAAAAACAAACCTAGGACAAATCATCTTAGAAACCTAACCTTTCCTGTATCATTTTGTATTTATTTTGACAACACTCGCTATGAAAATTGTACAGTGTAACAATCTATAAGAAATGCAGCCGATTTATTGCAGATTGAGGCAGTGAAACTCAGTAGTGATTTAGAAATATAATTACACACATTTAGCAATCAGAACTCCACACTATGTGGCACAGGGATGTAGGTCCTAGAAGGATCTTTATTGCTGCATCTTGAAGATAGAATAGTTTACTCTGCATTTACTCAAGAAAGAAAACCTGACTAAAACGCACATTTTATTTAGAAATGTTTTACCTGAAATTATTAGTGAAATTCAGTTATCCAGCAGAGACAATTTAGGAGACTTAAAAGTTGGCCTCATTTCTATGTGGACTTACATGCAAAAGCACTAATTCACAAGGCAAGAAACACTGGTAAAAGTACGTGGTTTTCTGTCACCGTATTACTTAATTAGTCATTAGTAGACTACAGGTAACACAGGAAGAGAAAAAGTTGTTTGCAAAACAATGGCAAAGAAAAATGTATACATAGAGTTGGTATGGACAGGTCAGAAACTGTGCATAGGCACTGTCAAGAACCAGTTACTGACCGTCATCGGTGTCTGCACTCAAAGCCACACTTAAAAACACATTTTTAGCCAATGTTTTCAATCAAAATATTTTTCAATGTAACAGTATAATGATGGTTTTTTGAATCTGAAAAAATTGCTTATCTGAGTAAAACAGTACAAGAGAATATGAACACTCCGGGAGGGCAAACAGTAATGGGAGACAAGAATCCAGTCTATGGATTATTCCCAAGAAAAATTTAAAGCACTACTCAATTCTATGAAACCTGTTTTTCTGAAGATAGGAATGGCTTTATTATATTAGATCCATAGATAATCTTGTCCAGTATCCTGTCTGTAACTATGCCCAGCACCACAAACATCTAACAGACATGCAGGAAGCTGGCTTAAATTCTGAAGCACAATGCAAGACTTGGCCAATGTGACCTTTGATGTAATAAGCAGTTACTTTTCTCACCCCAAAAGCAGTTATTTTTATTTTTGCTATAAACCTCCAAGCCATTTTTCAATCACAAGTTTTTAAATCAGTGAGTTCCTGCAGTTAATTATGGCTTGTGTCAAAGCACTTCCTTCATCAGATTTCAATTTGCCTTCTTAAATTCACTGGGTGCATCTTGCTTTTGTCTCTAAGCACAAGAGAACAAAACCTCACAATCTCTAGACCATTTGTTATCATAGTTTTTTTTTTTTTAATGTCTCTTATTTGTTGCCTTTCCTCCGACAAAGAAAACATTAAGGAAAGAGATTTATGGCTTCCTTTTGTGTCTTGGAAACCCTCCCTCAAATGCCATATGCCAGTATGCAAATGAAAGATTTTAGTTTAGTTGAAGAGAGCAAATGTTGATTGCTAAAAAGCTACTTAATTTTCTTTTCATTATTGCTACACTGGAAGGGAAAAAAAATCCAGCAATACAACAAATTACTGAAGAATTCAAATACCATGATAAAAAAATTACATACTTTTTCCATAAAAAGAAAACAGAACAGAACAGCCAACTTCCAAAAACCAATAAGCCACACAACTGCTGTAGTAGCCAAGCCAATGCTCACAACACATTTATTTCGGATCTTTTACCTTAATTCAAATTCAGCAAAAAGGACGTCAAAATGCTTGAGTGAATCTTTCATTTTTTCTGTGTAGAGGTTCAAATCCCTTAAGGCCTGGTCACGAATGATATTTCTAACTTCCTCTAGGCTTCGGGTCAGATCCTTGGCCAACGGCCTCATAGCCATACTCTCAATTTCACGATTCATAATAATTGAACCAGCAGCCAAACACTATGAAATACATTAAGAGAGAAAATGTTAATTTTTACAAAGTTACTTTTCTGTTTAAAAAAAACCACAAGGTGTGGTATTTAATACTTTGAACAAGGGCAGTACTTAGCCCCAATTTGTTGCAAATTATTAAACAAGTGAAAGATTTAAGACTGATATCAGAGTCACATAAAAGGTTAGGGAGCAGCTCAGTCAGGGTGACATGAGAATGGGGAGGGTTCAAGTGCAAGAACCACAGAGCTGAAAGAAGAACTTTAAAAAGCTCTTCTCCCACTAGTTAGGCAATAAGTATTGGCAAGATATACACTCTATGTATGCAAGGATTGCTTGCATAAAAAGGATATGAATCCAGCTAAAGTATGATAAATGGACTGTTTTGATTCAGGCTGGACTGCTTGATTTTGTAAAATAAATCTATTCCTTACAAAAAGAACAGAAATTCTGCAACTGTGATGCCTTTTGCAGCAAAACTGGTCACACTGGCTATAACACTAGGGATCCAGCTAGACCAGTATCCTGTCTCCCACAGAAGCTGTGAATTTATTTTATAGGAAAGAACATAAAAACCAGGTCCTCGAGTGATTCTTCCCCCTCAGTTTCTGGAAAGCAGACATTTAAGAGACACCTTGCCCCAAGAGTCACACATGCACTCCCTCTGACCAGCTCACAATGACATTAAAAGTAGATTTTTACTGTAACACATTAATAAAACTTTTTTAAAAATCTTGCTATTAAAACCAAGCTGTTTCATAATCTCTGCTGCTGGCTTTATTCCTTTATGGATACATTTGAAAGACAACAAGCACTGATAGAAATCATACTTGCTGTATTAATGGAAATACTTTTATTAACTGAAAATATACAAGGTTGTTCTAGCCCCAAAGTTCTCATATTTTACTTTTTTTCTCTCCGTTTGCAGCTCTGTGTCCCTCCTCTTTCCCCTGCACTCCCCTGGATGGGAAGCATTTCTGCAGCTCTGTATGGGGGACCTGCAATCCCACCTCTTGCTCAGCAGCCTTACGCATTGATTCGTGTCTTAAGGGCACTCAGAGAAGATCACGTTCTTACCTCTTATCAGCCAAAGCAGTATTTATGGGAAAGAATGGATAAGGCAAGTCTTACCTGTTGATAGGTACTCTTAGTCTGATAACTCAGAGCGACTGCACTGACAAGGACACATAAGTGTATATTCATAACAGTCCATACAGTCTCCATTACTACATGAATTTACAGGAGGACAGTGTCTACAGTAGCATGAGTTAGCCTTACTTCATCACTGCATATGTTACCTTCTCTGAAACCAACAGGTGTCTCCAGCCTGGTGGTTTGATTTGGAGACAGTGGAAGTTCGAGTTGGAAAGAGTAAAAGCATTAGCTTATGTAACACAAACAGTGAATAAAGCGAGACTTTTTTTTTTCCCCCTCCTGGAAGATACTGGCTGTCTCAGTGACTCATGCAAGCATTTTCCACAATGCAAGGAGAAGTTACTACATTGGCTGGCATTTTCCTGGTTATTCATTGCTGGAATCCCGGTTTGTTAGTCCCTTAGAGTAAGAAAGGATAATGGGATTCACAGGGATTCATTAAGGATGGTTGCAGAAAGAATTACCCCATCTTCTCCTACCCAACTACCAGGGAAGCACCATTAAGCCAACGTGTCACACTCAGCATTGTCGTGGTTTAACCTGGCAGGCAGCCAAATACCACGCAGCCGCTCACTCACTCCCCCCCGCCCCCCAGTGGGACAGGGAGAGAATCGGAAGGGTAAGAGTGAGAAAAACTCGTGGGGTGAGATAAAGACAGTTTAATAGAACAGAAAAGGGAGAATAATAATGATAATGATAAAATATACAAAATAAGTGATGCACAGTGCAATTGCTCACCACCTGCGCTGACCGATAACCAGGTAGCGATCGGTACTTCCTGGATCACGCCTACCATTCATACACTGAGCATGATGTCACATGGTATGGAATACCCCATTAGCCAGCTGAGCTGGCTGTCCTGATTATGTTCCCTCCCATCTTGTGTACCTAGCTCAGTCAGTAGACATGGGAGCTGTCCTTGGACTAGGAGGGCACTTGATAACACACTGATGTTTTCAGTTGTTGCTAACATTCTCCTCATACTAAATCCAAAACACAGCACTAGGAAGAAATTTAACCCTATCCCAGCTGAAACCAGGACAGCATTTTAGAACAGAGCATGGCATCACCTGGATGACAGCAGTGAAGGTCACATGATAATAAGAAAAACTGCTGCTGTTTTTGCTGAGGACAGGATTATAAAGCACTGACATATCAGATTCATTTTGTAAATTCTACCTCGGACTTGGCTGACTCAGCCTATAATTAACAACTGTCAAAGAAAGGTTCAAAACCAGAACATATGGAGGCATATTGGGCTGAACAAGGTAAGAACTATTGATGGAAAGCATTCACTTTAAAAAGAAAGGAGGAACTGGTAGAGAAAAGAATGGATAATAACAGGAGCCGAAGGATCACTTCAAATACAGGAGAGGCAAAGCTGAAAACACCACCACAACATGCTGTTGTCTGGTGGGATGTCTAGACTACTCCCCCCTCAACTCTCAACAAATTAGTGGTGCTTAAAGTCACCCTCAGGCCAGCAGGCCTGAAGACACTAAGTTTATCACTAAGGATGCCACAATGAGGGTTGGTTTTTTTTGGCCAACAGACATCAGTACTAATGAATAAGTATCTTACATATCACATTCTTTTGTCTGACACTTCAGGCTCCCCTTGATTAAAAGAATTAAAGTTTATTCACTACAAAAATCCCTGTTCCTACAGGTTGCTGTAGAATCAGGTCTTTGAGAGAAACCAGGTAAGAGAAGAAAAGTGGATTTCACTATTTCGCACAGAAACCATTATATTTTTAGCATACACACGAAACAAGTGAGTTATGTGCAACAAGTGTCACCTCAAAAAGTTATGTATATTTAATATGAGTTATAGCATAATATAGCCATTAATATAAAGTGACAGCATGCGCTTATGTTTGTTGGAGATAAACTTTTATCCTAATAAAATTCCCTTATATATCTTTGTTTCTAAGATTTTCAAAGCATGAGATGCGAGATGGCCCATCAGGATAAAAAAAAAAATTAAGAATATTAATCAGATGCTAATTCACAAAAGAATAGTTTTTAAGAGGTGGTCATAATGACAGCAGACAATTATGACAATAAACCAGTATGCTGTTAGCCCAACCAATACCAAAACCATAAAGAACCCTCTTCCACTGAGCATCCAGAGCAAGTTCTCAAAGATGTTTACTTTGCTCTGTAATTACATGTACCATTTTCAGAAAAGTCAAGATGTACTTTAAACTTCTGGCTTTATGCCACAAAAAAATTGTCCATTAACCCCAAGTAACAGAAATATGAGAGACTTACTTCTGCCCCAAACCAAAGCTGTCCTGCAAGGTTGTCATGGCGTATTTCCTCTGGAAACTTAACACAAAAGTCTCGGTTGGCCCGTTCATGTGGAATGCATTCATCCATGATTTGATTTATGATGTTCAAAACATTATCCTGAAGCAAAATATAGGATAGCATATATACTTTTCCCACAGAAATCTCACAAATTTTTTTCTAACTTTTAACAGAATTTATTAGTGAGGCACCAACTAATTAAGATAGAAAAGGCAGTATTTAACTCTTATGGTCATCATACACACTGAACAAAGACGAGAATATTGCATAGAAAGAAGCGTGGCAAACTTCACTTTTTCTAGTTTTCCTAGAGACTGTTTCTCAGATTCACTTCACTTAACTTTGACTACTTTAGTGGGACTTCTGATCAGGAGGCATGATTTAAAGAGCTCGTTATCTCCAGCTATCTATCTGTAAAATATCAGTAAATAAACCAAAAGTACAAGTAAATTGACTTCTCTCATTTCCTCTCACCAGACCCAATGATACACACTTCATTCCTCCCAAAAAGAATGCCTGACAGAGTAACCTGGAGGTGTTAGAAATTGAGTTATATTGGGACCATTGGGGTTGAATAGACTTAAACTCATCCTGGGAATCAAAAGCAGGTAGTTTCCACAGTTGAGTCTCGAGTGGGCTGGCACACCTGCCTGCCATCTCACCCCCCGGCCATCCAGGTAGCTAAGGGGACACTGCACATGTTAGAGAGTCTTAATAACCGCTCTGATCTATGTCTGCACCAGGACAAAGATCAAAGACCTATAACAAGCTTCTTGATATGCAATAAATAATCTGTATTCATTTATTTGAAAAGATAATTTTCACATACCCTGGCTGGGAACTGCATGGAATTTGATTAACATAATAAAGGTAGATTCAGAGCACGAAAAAGGCTGAGCGCTTTCATTAAAGATGTTTTGTCTGTCTCATGCTTCTTCCACTATTTACAGAATTCATGTTCTATTTCAAATATTTTTCAAACAAATAAAACCAAATCTGTCTATAGAACAGTTTAACAGACAGAATTGCTTTAAGTCTACACTTTAGTGTTTTGTTTTCCTCCACATTTAAAAAAATAACAGAAAACAAGAATTTTGAAGAAACCTGCCCCTTTAGTATGTTCCCCACTGAGAAAGACAAAACCTACTTTAGGTACAAAAAAAGATTCACATTTTCTGTAATTTCAGTGCAGACTGCTTTAACTGCTGTTGCCACAAAATAATCAAATAATCTTTAACACTAATGCTGTAATCACAGTTGTCTTCATCGAAAATAATAAATAAATTAACCACTGGCAATATTTATTACACATAGGTCTAAGACACTTTATGTGTTAACAATTTTTTTTTTT